CCCCAAAACCCCAAAACCCCAAAACCCCAAAACCCCATTTAAGAGTGAGATAATAGAATAATAATAATAAGGATAGGAAATAGGGGAATAATGGTAAGAGGTGGTAGGAGTGTGGGAAGGGTCGTTTTGGGAGCGGTAGAAGGGGTTTTGGGGTGGGAGAGGGGGAGATAGGGGTGGAGGAAGGGGTGGAGGAAGGGGTGTAAGAAGGAGGTTTGGAGGTTTTGGTAAAGAAATATTAGTTGTTGAGAAGATTGGATGTCAATAAACCCTCATTCAATCTGTCTGAAATCAACATCAAAATTGTAGAGAGTTTTCTTAACATACTTTTTAGGAAAATTTTAAAGAAATCGATGAAGTAGAAAGCTGTGACTTATTTGATGAAGCTCCAACCTCGAGAATTAAGAGTGTAAAAGTTAAATCTCCCAGAAATCCTTTAACATCAAATAAAGGAAACATCAAGCCATCCAATTACGAAAACTTTATTGCTGAAATACATGAGCTTTTCAAGAAGAAACCAGCGAAGCCAGCTAAAAGTTTGAACTGTCCTCAAGATTATATTGGCTTAAAGGAAATTAAGAAAGAATTAGAAGGTAAAACCACTTTTTCGAATTCTGCTAGAACAATAGGGTCTTTAGTTACTATTAGGTCCCTCTTTTCCTACACAGACCAACTAGTTCCACCTTCTTATGCTGGTCTATGCTTCCACCACTCTCATGAAACTTGTAAAAATATGGTTGTTTCTTATTCTCTGATGTGGGTGATTTGGCTCAATTATTATATTGGTGGTTACTCACAAAGAAAATTTCAAAAATTTCGGTAGCCTCATATACGCCATATTTTAGATAAATTAGGTGTACTATGTGTTCTTAGGAGTGCCTGGCGTCCACCAGTCATTCTGTTTTGGGGATTTGGCTAGCTTTGGATTTTGAGTTTACATTTTATGTGGCATCTTGCCCAAGAGTCTCTCTTGTTTAAGTAAAAGAGAATTTAACAAATTAGGTTTATTGTTTGGACTAAAAAGGGCACTCTCTGGTGAAATGCACTCGTATTATTCCTCTGTCAAATCCCTTTTGTCAGAATAATAATCAATAACAGTTACGACTATTAATCAGCTTTCAAATTTGCTATAGTACTATTTCAACCTCATAATCCAGAAAATACTCAAATGTTTTAGAATGATTTCAAAATTACAATTTTAGGGCTGAAGAGGACTTAACAGCTGAGTAATCCAGCTGATAAGAGTCCTTCCAGCTATATTCCCCACTTGGTTTAGCTTAATAGTTTACTCAGTGTTAGTACCATAGATGAAAAAGTTCATATTTCATACATTGGGATTCAGTATTCTCCCTATTCACTTGAAGCATCAGAAGTTCTTCATATTGTCGAGCTGCCAAGATTTTTCTGAAATAAGTGCGAGAATTAGTAAACCAGTTAGATAAGCGAAGGGCTTAAGAAATGTGGCAAAGGGGAGAGACTATAGAATTGTGTAGTTTGTGAATTTATTCATCAAAGGAAGTATTTACATCTTTTGGTGAAATGTTCTGGGGTTAAAATTCAGCTATGAATCTATTTCTTGGGGTTTATAATACCTTAGAAGGCTTCGATTATCAATGATTTTAGGGGATGAGGAAGTTAGAGTATCACCCTTCATTCAAATGATAAGTTTTTGCTTTTTCTGAAGTTGGTAAAGTTGGTTATGAAATTTGTCAAGTAAAAATTCAGAAATCGTTTCTCTTCTAACCTATTGTTCTAAATTTTTTGAGAATCTTTTCAGCTGATATGCCACAAGTACATATATGAATTAAAAATAACTCTTTCGTGTAATAATGATAAGAAAACAGCACAAGTTATCCCTGGTCATTACCACTTACTTATTTCTAATATAGATGAAAGAGAGCTAGTGACTGTATCAAGAAGAAGAATGAGAGCTAATAGAAAAGCCACCAAACTCTATAGTGTTGCCCCTTTCAGAGGAAAGTTTAGAGCAAGTCATATAAATGACCTCAATTCTCCAGATATAATAGCTCTTATCACAAGGACTAACAGAGAGAAAGCTCATAGTGGGTAGGTTTAACAGATATTATAAATATTTGCATATTTTGGAGATTAAGTCTTATTCTACTATCAGAAAGAACAATTTTCTTCTGAAAGTTTCTTTCTTCTCCTTAAGAAATAGCTAACATTGGTTTTAGGAGATGTCTGAATCAGAAGAACGACCCTAAGATTACCGAAAAATAATTCATATTAAATCAAGGACTTAGTCTACACTTGAAGATGATATGGCAATATTAATTCCTATCAATTTATTTTAAGAAAATTTACCTGAAAATATTACTTTAAGTTGGTGTTTACCTCTCCTACAATTTAATTCGTATTTTAAGGAAAATATCAAAGCCCAGGCTCTCTACAGCCTGGATGCTTGCTCTTCTAATTAAATGAGTTTTTATTTTAATTGAAAGTATTCTTAATGGAAATCTGTTCTCTCCTGAATGGGGTACTGAAACTTTATTTATGATAGAGATAAAATATAAGCTTCTTTACAGACTCTTGGTCTATTAAGCAAAGAGATTTGGCCAAAAAATCCTTTAATATTTATATCGTCTTTTATAACCAATTTTTCATGAAAGACAAGAAATCACTCTTTTATTCACCCTTGTTTGTAATACTATTTCTATGCTACAATTACTGGGAACAACTGAATTGGAATTTAAAGTAGGAGCTGAAGCAGTATGTTTGATAGATCTTTGGAACTTAATCTAAGCTCCTGCTTATAAAAACTGCAGTGTGCTGAAATTTTAATAGAGTAGGAACTATTCCACTGATCTAGCAGGATTATTATTAGTTAGATTATCGAATAAATATGTTTGTGGATTAATCAGAGAGATATGAACATTTCATATTATTCCTCTGATGGCTCCTAAAACCTCGTTCCTTCTACACCCTTGTCATTTCCTCTACCCACCTAGTATACTTCTTAAACCGTCTGTTGACTTCTTGAAGGAAGTCAACCAAAATTCCTAATAATTCAACCTTCCTCCCTCCTCTCGGGGTTTTGGGGTTTTGGGGTTTTGGGGTTTTGGGGTTTTGGGG